TGCATAGCCAGAACCTCTCCCAGGACTTAGCAGGGGTCCACGCAAGGGGTGACTAAGGGGAAAGCATGCCTCCACCTGAGAGATGTTCTGCTTCTCCCTAGCCAACCATTGGTGCTCATTCGGACAGAAGAGTTTTGCTTTTCACTTGCAAGCATGAGGTCCTCGGAAGTTGATCTCTCAACAGCTATTTAGCAGAGTCTTTGTTTTGTTTTGTTTTGGAGGTATGGGATTTGAACTCAGGGTTTCATGCTTCTAGGCAGACACTCTACTGCTTGAGCCACTCAGCCAGTTTTGCTTTGGTTTTGACTTTTTGGTCACAACCATCTTCCATCTCTGGAAGTAAAACCATTAAAGATGGCAAAATGTCTCTAATTGATCAGATTTGCCATATTCTCTTCAATGTCAACACTGCTAAATTTCTCCCCTGGATTAGAAATATTGCCCAAGGATCTGGACACCAGTGGCTCACGCCTGTAATCCTAGCTATTTGGGAGGCTGAGATCAGGAGGATCATGGTTGGAGGCCAGCCCTGGCAAATAGTTCCCGAGACCCCATCTCCAAAATAACCAGAGCAAAATGGACTGGAGGTGTGACTCAAGTGGTAGCGTACCTGCTTTGCAAGTATAAAGCAAACTCCAAACCCACCAAAAAAAAAATGTTGCCCAAGGAAATTAAATCCCAGGACAGATGTTCACCATTGAAATAAGACCTTGTTTCCACTGTCCCCTTCATTGATAGTCATGGAGAAGCTATAAATTAATAGACTCCTCTAATTCAACTCAGTTTGGTCTCCAAAGAGGGTCCAGTGAAAGCAACCGTCCAATCTGTCACTTGAACACTGTTTTTATTTGTTGCTGGGATACCAAAGGCTCTTTTAAGCCTGTGGCTAAGAAGAGCACCATGCGTCTGACCTTGTTCACCTGCACATACAGCAAATAATGGTAGAAATGATAGGAAAGCTCCTCCAAACATTTGGAGTGGAACACAAGGCAGTTTTGTGTCCAAAAATTGCTGTGTCCAATATTTGTTGTTCAAATAAATCTCAACCTGCATACAGAAGTGCACATTACACATAATAAGATGAGGCTTTGAGAAGACAGGTGTTAATTATTTTGAGGTAAATCAGATCACCTTTGACCCAAACCCCGAGCTGCAATTTTGTTGTTCTGCTTCTTGGTCCTGAAATTAATGTAAATCTTTACATTTGTAATTTTACTTGCCAACGCCAACCCACCCACACAGTCCGTAAATGACTGCTCTGAGTCAGAGACTATTCAGGTACAATTGTGTTAGATATTTAAAAATGTTCTCAGGAAGGATTAAATCACCTAATCCTGCTCCTTTCACTGATTCTGCTGTATGTAAACGATAGAGCTGGAGTACATCTAAACTGGAGAGGACTTTAGAGTTCATATTACCAAATTCCTTCTTTCAAGGATGAGATACCTAGGCTCTGATGTTAGAAGCGAGTTGCCCCCAGGTTACTCAGCAACCAAAGCTAAAACCCTAAAGGAAAGTACTGCCTGAGGTTTTAATAAAGAGCCACACTTAGAAATCCTTGCTCAGCATCCAGAAGCTACCCCTCCCCTGCCCTCCTGTCCCCAACAGCATCTGCGAATCCTGGTCCCTGATAGCCTGACACTCTTCGCAAAGAATCATGCCATTTTGAATCCAACTGGTCAGAATATGATTGCGATAAATCAGCTACCATTACAATAAGCATCAATTTGGGGAGAGTGGATGGCTGAGAAACTGCTAATAATGATGACTTTGGAGGACAGAGACTCTAGGGATGAGAGAAGCAGGATGGGGAGAAGTTTACTTTTCATTTTATATCTTTTCTGTACTATTTGGCTTTTATTACAATGTACAGATATGAACTGTATTGAAAATCTGATAGGTAAAGTAGAAATACTGTGCTCACAAACTTCAAAGGAGAATAGAATGAACCCCATAATGTAATACTGATGCTTGAAAATCCATTGCACAGTACAGCAGTACTTTAAAAAAATTTTTCTCCCAAAGTATCCACAATGGCAGAGGAGATTGAATGGGTTTCCCCGGGAGTCTGGGGACAGTGCCAGAAATGGTTCTTGTTTACAAGAACTCACTTCGCAGTTTATGTTTTTAAAATGCTTTCAAATTAATAGACTCTAGCATTTATGCATCTTTTAATACAAAAATAATGGCTTCAATGACTTACCATCCACGAAAACTGGCCCTCTGGGAAGACACCCCTCGTTTCTTTCCCCGGCGGTCCGGAGCACCCGCAACACACCGCCTCCAGTGACTGAGTGGAGAGGCCCCCTGGAATAGGAAGCGCGGCTGTGCACAAGCTGACCTGTATTCTGGCTCTCTCACCTGGAATCAGGCTCCACGGATCCTGTTATGCATTGAAGAGTAGCAAAACAACAGCATAAATTAGGGGGTTGCTAAGATTGTGTACCATCAACGTTTGCATGAGCATAATGGACATAATGAATTCTATAGCACTATCCTGCACAGCTTGGAGAGATTAAAATCACTTTGTCTTTAAATTAAATTTCAAAAAATCATTGAATAACAGCAATAGCAAGAACAACAACAGAAACCCCCCACCTCATCTGTGTCAGCCACCCAATGGTAGGAGGCACCACTTGCTTTCTGATCATTAATGCCCAGTCCTATGTTTATTATAATAGCTGCCAGCTCAGTGAGTCCGCATCTATTGTAATAACCATAAAGGGGCTTGGGTCCTCTTGTATTGTGTATGCAGCACTAAGTGGAGAGCCTCTTACTCCCTTTCAGGAACAAAATCTATAACCAAAAAAGACCTAAGCTGAAGTTTATTTTATATAAAAGCTACTCAATATAGTAGGTCTAGGCTGTGGCAGAAAACGAGGTGGACTTGAATTCATTCTTAAATAGCACTATACTTCAGCAAATCATTGTTCAACAAAAATGGGTGGCAAATTATGAAAAATCCTCACACTGGAGCACTTATTAGATGCCTGGCATCATTATATTTAATGCTCAATAGATTTTATCTTACTTGACCCTCACAACAACCCTAAGAAATATGATTAGCATTATTATTATTATTTATTTTTTTGGTGGAACTGGAATTTGAACTCAGAGCTTTGTGCTTGTAAAGCAGGCGCTCTATCTCTTGAACCAGACCTCCGATCTATTTTGCTCTGATTATTTTGGAGATGGGGTCTTGAGAATTATTTGCCTGAGCTGGCCTCGAACCACTATCTTCTTGATTTCAACCTCCCAAGTAGCTAGGATTATAGACGTGAGCCACAGGTACCCAGCAACTAGCATTATTATATCCTCATTTCACAAACAAGGAAACTGAGGCTTTGGGATATTTGACTAGCCTGAACTCATGCAGCTATAAGCAGCAGAACCCGCATTAAAATCCGGATACTTCTGATTCTAGAGTTCCTGAAATTTGAACAACTGCCTCCGAATTTTCATAGTTACCACTTATGGGGTGCTTTTTAACTATGTTCTTTTTTTTTTTTTGCAGTACTGGGACTTGAACTCAGGGCCTCATGCTTGTGAGGCAGTCACTCTACCCCTTGAGCCACTCTACCGTATTACCTATGTTCTATAGTGAATGGTTTGCATAAACTATTTAATCTTTGCAACAACTCTCCAAGGCAGGCATTATTATCCTCATTTTACAGATAAGGAAAACTGAGGCTTAGAGAAATTAAGAAACCTGCCTGGCAGCATAATTAAGTCCAGGTTTTTAGCTCAGGCCTTTCTGATACAGAACAGTGTTATTTTTCAAATTCTTTTTCCCAGAAACCACTAAGATGGCATTCTTCATCTCCTACTTGCCCAAAGGAAGAGAATGACCATTAATAGCAAATGACAGTTGGGACAAAGCGATACCAAGAGCCAGGAGAGACCAATACCACCTCCTCCTGTGCTCAGAATAGTTCTTTTTAAAAATTTTTATTGTTGTACTGGGGGTACATTGTGACATTTATGAAAGTTCTTACAACATATCATTGTTGAATTCACCCTCTCCATTGAAATAGTTAACAACTGAGCTATACTAGTAGGACTCAGGTACTTGGTGAAGGGGCACACAACAAAAACCCTGGGATCTTTCAGGTGCTGATACGTGCCGTTATTCCCCTGTGAATAGGTCTTTCTGCATGCCAGTGTGGGGATGTGTTCCTCAAGAGTGAGTTACCTGCACATGCAGACCACTTATCTTACTTTGTATAAATGGTGTGACCTGACTGGGTGCTTTATTCTTCATATAAATCTCAGGTTACAGGCAAAATCCACTGGATTTTTGAGCTGTAATCAAGAGCTACAGAAATTACACTTTCGTGTGGATCCCAAATAAAGGCTTATTCAAAAGAAACCTGCATTGACAGGGCTGGTTAGCATACTAAGCAAAATGCATGTAGCATTGTAGCATTTCCTCTTTGTAAATGACAGCTCATAGCTGTCATCAGAGCTTTCAGTAATCTTTAATGGCACTACAATCTCAGCAGTATGTAACTGCACCAGGTCTAACCTTCTGCTTCGATTGAGATTAGATAAAAATGCTTGAGCCACGAAGACTGAAGGCCACTAGATGAAAACTGGTAACTATGATGGCCTTGTATTTAGAAAATTTTGTTTAAGTGAGGTGATATTCACATAAGTTAATAGCCATTTGAAAGTGATTAATTTGTCTTGTAGTTCTTGCTTAATAACCACAGGAGTAGAAAAAGTGGGTACATGGTACTTTTTGGAGAAAGTTTATACAACTGTGACAGGCCACAGGCAATAGATCAATATTTTTTGGGTACACTGGGCCTGAATTTCATTTTGCTAATGTACTGGGAATGTTGACTAGTCAAACAACTAAGTTATTCTTTGATAAGTTGATGGCTGACAATTGATTTCAAAAATTCTCCATCTCAGGAGATGCTATAGCATTTACTCAAATGTAGCACTTACTCAAATACAAAGTATATTTTTATATGAAAACAAACAGCAAACAAAATTTTTAGATATTTTATTTCTTCAAATTTGTTATTTATCAGGAGTGAATGAAATAAAAAATATAATTTGAGTCCTATCATTGGCATCATGGGAATGGCTTTAAGACAAAAGTGGTCAGATGAATATTATTGCTTCCCATTTCAACCAGCAAACAGTTACCATTAATAAATAGACAGCTCAGAATGTATCCAGAATGGCCAAGATATGCCGTATAATACAACACACCTGTTCACAGGGAAACCCTAGGAAATAACTTATGTGTACTTCTTGATTTCATCATATAAGACAAGCACAAAAGCACCCCCCATGCCTCTGAGAACATTGGACCATGCACCCTTGAAAAAAGCTTTGCTTCCTTCATCACGAGCGATCTTCCTCCAGCAGTCAAGTGCGCCTGTGTACATGATATCAGCTGCAAAGAATAAATACGTGCAGTTGGTGACAGAAGGTCAATGGAAGCACTAGACTAAATAAAACAGCCCCACCTATAATAACTAAGTCAGTTGTTTCTTTTTCCTGAAGTGCTGGGGATGGAACCCAGGGCCTCTTTGGCAGGCTAGGGAAGTGCTCTACTACTGAGCTACACACCCAGCCCCTAATGTCTACATGTTTTAAATCCATCATTTACATTATCAGCATGAGCAATACTGAAATATTAATGCTGTGACTGAAGAACAACAAGTATCTGTAGAGTACCCAGTGGTCTTAACCTCTAATACTATTTAAGCACCCTCATTCATAGGCATCTAAAGGGCCATTTGCTTGCAGGTAGCTGTGTAGCAGACACAGTTGCTATCAACCCCATCCCTCAACCTAAACAGACTGCCATTTTTCCAAGGAATTTTTTTTTGGCAGTACTGGAGTTTGAACTCAGGGCCTCATGCTTTCCAGGCAGGTGCTCTACCACTTGAGCCATTCCAGCCTCCCTCCCCCCACCAACTGCCATTTTTAAAGGCAGGCACCACTGGTTGTGGGCACAGCTTGTCCATGCCTATGACTTGTGTTTTCTGCTTAAGGGGAACTTACTTCCTTTGCGCCCTGACTGCATCATCATGCGGCGGCGAACAGTGTCAATGGGATAGGAGACCAAGCCAGCAATGGCAGTGACGGATTGTGCGATCATCCAGCTGATGAAGATGTGAGTATTTTTTGGATCTGGAAGCATTCCTGGGAATAGGAAAGAGACATTTTTGTCAAAAAGCAGTTTTACTGATGTTTTCCACATCTGCCAAACACTTCATCTGTGCATGAGTGGTGTATGGGAGGAGCTTGGCTCCCTTGGATAACAACAACAAAAAACCAAATCTCTGGCTCCTAGAATTTTAGGTTGTCTCATAAAATTAGACAATGTAAAATTGTCTCATAAGAACACATCTTCAAATTAGAGATAAGGGCAAAATAGTTTCTGCTGGGTATTGAGGGGGTGGGGGGGAGAGGGAGGGGGAGGAGTGGGTGGTAAGGGAGGGGGTGGGGGCAGGGGGGAGAAATGACCCAAGCCTTGTATGCACATATGAATAATACAATAAAATAAAAAAAAACACATCTTCAAATCACATAGCAAACTTACCCTTTGCGGTATCATAGATACCGAAGTAGGCAGCCCGGTAGACAATAATACCCTGCACAGACATATTAAAGCCTTGGTATAGGCCCTTAATTCCATCAGATTTGTAGATCTTAACCAGGCAGTCACCGAGGCCTTTGAATTCCCTTTCAGCTCCGGCTTTGCCCACATCAGCTGCTAGCCGGGTACGGGCAAAATCAAGAGGGTACACAAAGCACAAGGATGTGGCCCCAGCAGCACCACCTGATGCCAGGTTTCCTGCAAAATAGCGCCAAAACTGCGTCTTCTTGTCCACGCCGCCCAGGAAGATCTGTTTGTATTTATCTTTGAAGGCAAAGTTGAGAGCCTGGGTGGGGAAGTATCTGATGACGTTGGCCAGGTTACCACGCCAGAATGACAGGACTCCCTGCTCCTTGGGAATCCGAACCACACAGTCCATAATGCCTTTGTATTGCTTATCTGCGCTAATTTGCTTGCTGGCATGCTGCACCTGATAGACAGGAAGGAGGCCAAGAGGGAAAGTTAGAAGCATGGCGAAGGGAAAAGAAAGAGCTTACCTATATCATCTCTATCAAAACCCTTTAAGGTTGGCTCCCCTTCTTCCAAATATATCACACGGGCTGGACCTACTGCAGCTGTCACAGCAGATGGTGATCCGCACCATCACAGGCATTAAGTCTCCACCCTTTTAGGTGGGGAGGTGACACCCTCAATAGGACCGGTGACCTTTAGACCTGGGAGAAAGAACCTCAGTCCCAGGTTCAGAGGAATTAGGGTGAGCTCCACCAACGAAGGTGACCGTAGTCTACGTCTAAGGTTCTCCTGAGGCGCTTGCTTCCTTCCCGTTCCGCCTCCATCCCACTTCTAGGAGTGACCCATGTGCCACCCAACCCTCTGCTCATCTCGGCGCGCCCTCTACAGCCAGAGCGAGGCCACAGAGAGGCGGGCGGAGGGGCCGTGACGGCAGCGCGGGGGCGGACGCAACCAAGCACATGGGCTTCCCGGAAGGCGGCGAGGTTTGAGCGAGTCTGCCGGCTTAGTGTCTGGCTGGACCGGTCCGCTTGGCCTCCCCAAAGTTGTTAACTACTTGCCGCGACCTTGTGGTCTTTGGTAAGGCCAGGGATCCTCTTTCTACCGCTAACTTTCAGGTTTTGCCCTTGATCCCGAGACCACGGAGGCCGTCTCCCCCAGGCTGCTCCATCCAAGTTCTCTGCCCTAGGATACCACGCCCCTGAGCTCCCTCACCTCCCTCTACTTCAGATCCCTTCCTAGACTCTGACTTCAAGTCACTAAAGGCCACCTCCCTTAAGTTTGACTTTTGATCCGACGTTGTGGCCACCCCTACCCTCACCTTGTCACAGGAGTTAGCCCCGCCGTACCCCCTGGAGTAACCCGCTTTCTGGGCAGACCCGCAGCGCTTCCTCCATCCCAGGACCTACCTGCAGCAGCAGCTTGACACGCTCGATGGGCGCTACCGCAGTCTTAGAGATGGCCGCGGCCACTCCACCTGCCAAGAAGTCCTTGGCGAAGGACATAGTGGCATCTGTCATGTTGAAAGCAAAGAGGAGGCAGGAAACTTCAGGACAGGACTAGGCTGAGAACCGGCTTTGACTCCCGGGCTCTGGGGCGGAGCAACGCAAATGGCCGATTTATATACCGGGAGCCCGAGGGGCCGGCGTCAGGGGCGGATCAAGGCAGGCGATGAGCCCCAGCGCGCGGGGTGGCAGAGCCGCTGAGTCGCTCAAAGTGCTGGGGAGGAGCTGTGGAAGTCGGGCCAGGTGCCGCCCTTTGCACCGCCCGCCTGGGTCGCCTGCGGCACCTGACCCAGCACCGAGAGGGGTCCGCTGGAGACCCCAACAGGGTCCTCGAACTGGGGAGAGGATGGGTGAAGTTGCAGTGTGCCTGGAGAAAAACCTCTGTGCGGGGCCAGGTCTAGGGTGAAGCACAGTAGTTATCAGGACACCAAAACCCAAAGAAACAAACAAAAAACCCCATCAGTAATCAAATAAGTCATATTTAAATGCCATATTTAAAAGCTTGCAAGCTGGACCTTTGGGTGCACATGTATAATCCCAGCATTTGGGAGGCTGAAATAGAGGTCGAGGCTCGCCTGGGATAATGGTGAGACCCCTATGTCAAAACAAAACAACTAAAACCAAAACATACAGGCAAATCTAGAGTCTGCAGTCTAGTCACCGAGTTTTGCAAATAGTTTAATTATAGACCCAGAGCTGGGATAGGGTGAGGCACATGAATCAAGGTCATGCAAATGAAGGATGAGATCCTGTCTTTATTTAAAGTTTTGGTCGTATGTTCATGGTGGGGTTTTATATTACTTTCGTATTTTAGTAGTGCACTAAAAACCATTTATCTTAGTTCTTCAGTTGTTGGTTCTGTGCTAAGATGAATTTCACCCTAGACCTGACACTGCCTGGAGCTTTGCTGGTGAAGCCAGAGGAAACTTGGGGAAGAGCAGGGCCTGGATACTGAGCTTGCTCCAGAGTCCCCTTTCCAAGTACTTAATCTAACAAAGATCTTGCAGAGAATTGACCTAGGAGAGTCCAAAGGACCAGGCTGGGGTGGGGAAATGATTTTGATCAGAAGCCACGTAGAGTGGTTGTACCCAGAAGGTCAAGAGGCTTACTAGAAGGTTAAGAACTAGGTTGACTGGACCCCAAGTAAGGAGCTCTTGTGTTAAGTACATCTCTGAAGTCCAGAAACGTTTAGAATAATCAATAGACTTACATAGTCAGCCATTGTGTCAATAGACAGGTGCTCACTGAGCCCCTTAATCCTGGCACTGGGTGAGCATGTCCTTAAAAGCTTGAGTGCACTCCCTCAGCATCAGAACAGTGGCAGAGGAGTGTAATTGTAAATCTCACCATCTAAATAATCGTAATGGTGTTGCTAGAGATCAGGTTAACTGTGGAAAACTGCAACTGTGGCTGAACCTTAGGTGCCCAGACCTCAGAATCCCCAAAGGCAAAATGCCAGCAGGCCTGTGCACACTGAAGGCATAGTGGGCATATCCTTCAGTTTCCTTTCCTACCCTCTCCCACCTTCTCCAGATCTGCCTGCTATAGGACCCAATTCTAGGATTCCTCCAGGATTGTCAGGCCCCTTTTCTACAAGTGTAATTTACCACTTGTTAGTCTTCCCGAGAACCCCAGCAGTCTCTGGGCACAGGTGGCTCATGCCTGTAATCCTAGCTTCTCAGGAGGCAGAGATCAGGAGGATCACACTTTGAAGCCAGTCCTGGGCTAATAGTTCTTGAGAACCTATCTCAAAAAAACTCATCACAAAAAAGGGCTGGTGTAGTGGCTTAAGCTGTAGGCTCTGAGTTTAAGCCCCAATATTGCAAAAAAGCAAAAAAAAAAAAGTTTGTCTTCAGTCTTTAGTACAATATGAGACGTTTAAAAGCAACTTCATGATATAACTTGGTATTTTGCTAAATCCATTGTGATGTAGAACTTTCCTACTTGCCCATTACCATCTTCATCTTTTTTGTTTTTAATTTTTTTTGTATAGAATTGGGGTTTGAATTCAAGGCTTCACACTTGCACTCTGCCACTTGAACCACACCTCCGGTCCATTTTACTGTGATTATTTTGGAAATGGGGGGGGCGCCTCACAAACTTTTTTCCCGGTTGGCCTCGAACCTCAATCCTCCTTATTTCAGCCTTCCCAGGGGCTAGGATTATAGGCAAGAGCTATTGATGCCCAGTTTACCATGTTCATCTTCAGGGCAGATGTTTACTTTAAAGTGTATTCAAAAATGTCCAGGTCACTAAAGAGAAAGACTGAGGAACCGTGACAGATTAAAAGAGACTGAGACCTGACAACCTAATGCAGTGGGTGATCCTGGACCAGAAGAAGGACATTGATGATACAATTGGTGAAATTTGAATATCTGTAGATTAGTTAATAGCAGTACTAATACTATTCATGGTTATGGTGGTTATGTAACATGTTAACATTTGGAGTAGTTGGGTAAAGGTTGTATGGAAATTCTTTGTATTATTTTAAAATTTATCTTCAAACCGATACATAAGACAAATTGTACATATTAGTGAGGTAGTATGTAATGTTTTGCTACATGTATACATTGTATATTAAGTCAGGTTAAATATATCTACCTGAACATTTATCATTTTATGGTGAAAACTTGCAAAATCCTTTCTTTTAGCTTTCTTCTTGCTTTTATGTAGATGTAAGTTAGTATTGATCAATCTCTCCCGCCCTGCCCTACTCTCCTGGGCTTCTGGTAACTACCATTCAGTTCTCAAGTTCAGGAGTTGAGCTTTTGTAGGTTCCATGCATGAGTGAGTCATGCTGTACTTGTCTTTCTGTGCCTAGTTTATTTGTTTCACTTATAATGATCTCCAGTTCCATTCATGGTTGCAAATGACAGGATTTCTTGTTTTATGGCTGAATAGTGTTCCATTGTCTCTCTATACCACATTTTCTTTATTCGTCATTGTCTCTCTATACCACATTTTCTTTATTCGTCAGTTGATGGACATTAGTTTGTCTCCATTTCTTGATTGTTGTGAATAGTGCTGCAATAAATACGGAGTGCAGATGTCTCTGAGGTACCAATTTCATTTCCACTAGTGGGATAGCTGAATCATATGGTAGCTTTATTTTTAATTTTTGAGGATTATTCATACTGTTTTATAATGGCTGTACTAATTTTCATTCTTATCAATGATGTGCAGGAATTCCCTTTTCTTCACATCCTCATCTTTTTTTCTTTTCTTTTTTTTTGTGGTACTGGTCTTGAACTCAGGGCCTACACTTTGAGCCACTCCACCAGCCCCCCCCTTTTTCTTTTATTCATATGTGCATACAACATTTGGGTCATTTCTCCCCACCAGCCCTTTTTTGTGAAGGGTTTTTTGAGATAGGATCTCACAGAACTATTTGCCTGGGCTGGCTTCGAACCACCATCCTCCTGATCTGTGCCTCATGAGTGGCTAGGATTACAGGTGCGAGCCACTGGTGCCCAGCGATACCTCATCTTTTTGTAACAATTATTTTAACTGGGATGAGATGTTACTTCACTATGTTTTTGATTTCCATTTCCCTAATGAGTAGTGATATTGATCATTTTCTCATATATTTGTTGGCCATTTGCATGTCTTCTTTTGAGAAATGTTTTTAAGTCTATTGCCCATTTAAAATTGGGTCACTATTAGTATTGCTGTTGAGTTTTTGGCGTTCTTTATATATTGCAGATATAAACTGATTGTTAGATGTATCTTTGTACTACTTTGTCAACATTTTAATAAGTCTGAAAGTTAAAAATTTAAATGGTGAGCTGCCAGAGTGGCTCAAACAGTAAGAGTGCATGCCTAGCAAGCACGAGGCCCTGAGTTCAAACTCCAGTGCCACAAATAAATAAATAAAAGGAGAAAAGAGAAAGAGAGCAGGAGCAAGAGCCCAAGAGAACAGAAGTAGTATTAATGAAGGTGATGATGATGTTGATAATGATATATGATTGGTCATTTAATTAAAAACTCGGGCTGGAGGTGTGGCTCATGTGGCAAGAGCACCTGCCTTGCAGACAAGAAGCCTGAAGTTCAAACCCCCGTACTGAAAAAAACAGACAAACAAAAAATTAAAAAATCATTTCTCCAGTGAGACACAGAGGAGGCTCTGTTGGTAATTACCGTATTTGTGGGAACTAGGTAGAGTACAATGTAGTAAAGAGGAACTAAGCTAAGGCAGTGCCTAGTAATTCTCAAGAAAAAAAAACATGGAAAAGATTCAGAAGTAATACTTAGGGCCTTAGATATCCATATACCAACACCCAGAACATAGGTAATAAAGAGAACGTAAAGTTTTAAGACAAGCAGGAAGACACACTTTTATAGGTGTTCAGATTCTAGACCAGTACTTCTGGCTGACATATGGAAAATGAAGAGTAATCCTGGTTCAGAGAAATACCATATAGAAGGGAGAGCAGTAGTATTTGGAGAAGGTATAACCAGTAGCTCTTTGGCTGGAGGCTGAAAAGCGTTCATCAAGAATGAAAGCGGTAGTGGGGCGTCCATGGTTCACACCTATAATTCTAGCTACTCAGGAGGCAGAGATCAGGAGGATCACAGTTCAAAGTCAGCCCTGGGCAAATAGTTTGCAAGACTCTATCTGGAAAAAAAATTACAAAAAAGGGCTGGTAGAGTGGCTCAAGGTGTAGGCCCTGAATTCAAGCACAAGGAAGGCAAAAAAAAAAAGGAAAGAGGCCCTGAGTTCAACCCCAGTTCTATGCAAAAAAATGAAATGAAAGAAAGAATGAAAGGGAGAAATGAAAGTGATTCTAGTTGTAGAAGATTAGAAGACACTGCTCAGATATGTAAAAGACATGAATAGCCAGGAGCTGGTGGCTCACACCTGTAATCCTAGCTACTCAAGAGGCAGAGATCAGGAGGATCACAGTTCAAAGCCAGCCTGGGCAAATAGTTCACAAGACCCTATCTCAAAAATACTCAACACAAAACAGGGCTGGCAGAGTGGCTCAAGTGGTGAAAGAACTCCTGCTTAGCAAGCATGAGGTCCTGAGTTCAAACCCATGCTGCCAAGAAAAAAAAAAAAGACATGAACAGTGCTTTATAAAACTGTCACAGAGGCAATAAATAGTGATCAGAGACATAGACCATCATTATTCTGATA